GAGGACAATGGCCTCTTCCCCACAACCCTGGCCCCGTGTTTATGTGTGTGTGTGTGTGTGTGTGTGTGGTGTGGGGGGGGGGGGGGTAGCTTATTGGAATCTGGAACTTTGGTGGTTGTAGAGGTGCCAGGGGCAGCTTATCGGAACCTGGACACCTTTTTTAAACAAGGGAGCCCCTAGATCCTGCCCCCCTCCAAGTGAATGAGTACATATTACCTCTACTCATTCATCAAAAATTATTATTATTATTTAAAAAACCTGTCCCCTGATGTAAATCCATCATCAAACATGACGAACGCCAGCTGCCAACCAGCAAACACATTTGCTCCCGTCAGTAAACACTTGATGAATGACAGCCACTTACCCCTATGGCTAAGTAAACATGGGGGAGAAGCAGCTCACACATATTATCATGTGCATCGGTCCTGCTGTGCTAAATCCCAGTGGTGCAGCAGTTCCCTGCAAGTTGTGGATGTATATGGTGACAACTGACAGGAAATTCCTGGTGTCTCTGTGGATGAGTGGAGGCTGGAGAGAGCACCCTTTCCCTGGGGGAATTTCCTTGTACGTATGTGACCACTCTTATATGGAAGGTCACATTATGCGGTAAGCCTTTGTGTGTGTGATCAATGACACCTGGGAGATTTTACAAATGTTTGATGGTGACAGGCTGAGGAGCTCATCCTATTTTAATACAAGGGACTTGTATTTTCTGCTGTATGTGCCTCTTAATTTATGCTTTTGTTTTATTAGCACGATTTCACAGTTTATGTAAAGCATTTTGATTACACATATTGCTGTTAACAGTAGACATTGGGAGAAAGGTCTATAGCCACACCACGCTGAATGTGCCCGATCTCATCTGATCGTAGAAGCTAAGCAGGGTTGGGCCTGGTTAGTACTTTGGGGGTAAGACCTTGGTGAGTCTTAGGATTATTTTTCATTACAATTTATTTTTATCATTTTGGCTTTGAGTTTGCGAGCGCTGCACTTGTTATATACCTGTATCTGATGTACAGTATGTGTGGAGCAGAACAAAGGTGAGGCTCTCAGTGTGAAGCTGACACTGTACAGGAAAACATAACAAATGAAAATGTAACGGTATGAATGCCCCTCAAATAACCCCCATTTTTGAAAGTGGACACCCCAAGGTTTTTTCCACAGTTTTTTTTGGAATTAAGAAACATGCTAGTATTGGGGTGGTAACAAATGCAGTGCTAGACACAGCAGCATCATAGGTCGCACACATACTCAGTGAGAAAGAGATAAAATGTGAATGTACTAACCACACACAGTGGGAGGATGGGGATGAAGTGTTTAATGTTCAGATGTGCAGGATAAGGGAGATAAGAGGTTATTATACAAGTCACATAGAGATAGGATGAAGATCAGATGCACAGGAGGGAGGGGGGAGGTGAAAGGGTTAAAAATAAATCTCATAATCAGCCCCCCTCCTACCTTGAAACTGCAACTTCGTTTGCTCTGGAACGTATGAATGATCTTTGATTTCTTAGTCCCTTCTGCTTTCCCTTCCTCTTCCTCCCATTAGAAGACACAGCAGTCCTGTTTACATTTTTGTAATGACTGTGATTGGTCATCACTGCAACCACATGGCACAGAGTCACTCAGATTGACTCTGTACTTGTGTCTGTCCAATGATGTCTTGGTTCACAACCATTAACAGGCACACTGGCCCCTGGGGGTTATGTCTGAAGTGCAGTTTAAAAAAGGCACTCCAGGAAAACATATCTACATTCCCAATATTTTTTTCAGTACAGTGGTAGTGAGATGATCTTGATATTCTGTACTGAAGAAATATGGAGGCAGCTATTGCTGAATTCCCTTCATGATTTTTCTAGGCCCCTGACTGTCATGTTGATCTAATGGCTTTACTACTTTCGAAATCACCAACTCCGCACACGTATGCAGATCACGAGTTCTAACTTTACTCTTACTTTACTGATCGGCATCCTAGCCCCAGGCCAGTCTGTCATGTATCAAACCCAGAAACTTGTATGTTGAGAAAAAGGTCAGCATTGACATTATCTGTATTTATTTCAATGCACTTTTATTTTGAAAACAATTGACACCTAGCCAGCTCTGAATTGTTGTTGGATGATAATTTATATTGGCACTTGACATGCAAGTTAAGTTGTATTTTTGACTCACATTTCAAGAATCTATGGTTTGCAAATTTGTTTTGCTCTAGGGAACAGGAAAGCAACCTAACAGCCGCTGCTGTCTTAAATTTTTCAATGCAAGAACAGAAGATTATAAAACAAAAGAAGGAGAGATATGCTAACCAAAGCAAAAATTTGATCTGATTCCGATTTGACCAAATTAGATCTACAAATTGGTTCCTTTGGTCAATGTTTGGAAAGCAAATCAGCAAAATAAAGTATTACAGTTTTAGGGGTGTTTTTTTTGGTGCCATTGGAGCTTAGACTTTTTCATTTTCCAACATTCAACACCCTTTCTGGAACTTGGTGTCTTTAACTTTTTGTTGAAAAAAGATTATGGCTATAAAAAAGTACTTCTTCAGAAGCTGCACTTTCTGTGGCAGTTGGTACTCTTTGCTCACACTCAGTTTGTTCTGTTGTACTTGATGTAAAACCTTTCAGTGGTGCTGCTTGTCTGCTGGGGCTGCAGTGGTGAGTACAGTCACCCAGGTATGATGTTAGGATTGTAAAAGGCACAGAGAATGTGCTATATGGGTGGTAGTGGGAGTGTCCTCGGGAGGCCCAGGGACTATTTGGGTGGGGTTAAAGTGTCCTTTGGGACTCACTTGGCGGTATCGTGAGACAGATGCAACGTTTCATTTATAGAGATAGTCTAAGATATTGGTATGTTAAAATCTTACTATCTGGCGTCGCTTTCCTTTTTGGACAATAAGAAAAATTAAAAAATATTTGTGATATAGGATTGTTGTTTTTGAGAATATCTTGGTAAAGGTTTTGTTTTTTCATTTTTGTTTTCTAGACCACCTATCTTATATAGGAGGACATTTGTGTATATTTAGTTAAAGATTAGAGTCTTACCATTGTTGCATTGGACTACATGCTGGTTATTATTTTGCTTTTGTTATTAAAGATTTGGTACCTAATGCTGCTGTGTTGGAGTCAATTGATTTCTGTGGTAGTTTGCATGATTTACAGGACATATGAAGTTTGGGTGGTGACTTTCCTATTGTGAGGTGCATCGCATAACCTTGGTGAACTGGATATTATATGTTTTGGGTACCTTTATGTACTGACTATACACTTTTGGTCCATAATATTGTGTGATTACATGTGGTCATTCATTGAGGAATGGTGTGGTTGACTCTGGTCCCTCTTGGAGGGGTTCCACCTCTTTCATCCCATTCTCACCTCCCCATAGTCCAGGAGGATGTGACTGCCTCTCACCCCATGTGTCCAGTTTTTGTAAGTATTTTGGTCTATGTATATGGTGTATTATGTATATTTTATTCTGTCTCTCCTCTTCCCTTCCTTCTTATGTCTCCTTTTCTCCTCAGTGGGATAGAATATATAACCCATGGTGGGTTTAATGGTATATAATGTAAATATTGTTGTTGGTATGTACAGTGCATCCAGAAAGTATTCACAGCGCTTAACTTTTGCCACTTTTTTTATGTTACAGCCTTATTCCAAAATGGATTAAATACATTTTTTTCCTCAACTTTCTGCAAACAATACCCCATAATGACAACCTGAAAGAAGTTTGTTTTTAAATCTTTGCAATTTATTAAAAATTAAAAAAAACACACGTACATAAGTATTCACAGCGTTTGCCATGACACTCAAAATTAAGCTCTGATGCATCCTGTTTTCACTGATCATCCTAGAGATGTTTCCACAACTTGATTGGAGTCCACCTGTGGGAAATTCAGTTGATTGGATATGATGAGAAAAGGCATAAACCTGTCTATATAAGGTCCCACAGTTAACAGTGCATGTCAGAGCACAAACCAAACCAAGCCATATAGTCCAAGGAATTGTCCGTAGACCTCTGAGACAGAATTGTATCAAGGCACAGATCTGGGGAAGGGTACAGAAAAAGTTCTGCGGCATTGAAGGTCCCAATGAGCACAGTGGCCTCCATCATCCGTAAATGGAAGAAGTTTGGAACCACCAGGAATCTTCCTAGAGCCGGCTGCCCGGCCAAAATGACTGATCAAGGGAGAAGGGCCTTAGCCAGGGAGGTAACCAAGCACCCGATGGTCACTCTGAAAGAGCTCCAGCATTTCTTTGTGGAGAGAGGGGAATCTTCCAGAAGAACAACCATCTCTGCAGCATTCCACCAATCAGGCCTATATGGTAGAGTGGCGAGACGGAAGCCACTCCTCAGTAAAAGGCAAATGGCAGCCCACACTGTATATCTATGGAGGTCTCATGCATTTACGTATGCAATACATTTATGTTTATTTTTTTGATTAATATATGAAAGTGTATATATAATAGGCACCTGTGGTGCTGTATGGAAATGTGAAGTCCTGAAGCAGCATGGACCAGGAAATGCGTCAACATCGTCATTCATGACAGTAGCCATTGAATTTTATGTGTATTTCTGTATTGGGATACTTTTTAGTGAAATTTCTCTCTAGATAGTTTTATGATATATGTAATAAAAAATATGGTGTTTTTGAACATGATGTTTAGTATAAATAAAGGTTGGCCATCCTAGAATGCCCTTTACCATTTCCTGTTTGGAGCACTCTTGGACACACTTAGAATATGAATCTTGTAGCATGCATACGTGGCATGTGCCCAGATCTTGCTAAACAGAATGCGGTTCTGATTTGCCCCTAACTTTGGTCTCAGGTGAACCCTGCAAGTTCAAGGTTCAATGTCCCAGAGAAACAATGTGGGAATTCATCAGACCAAATTCTTTGTATCTAGAATGCATTACCTAACCTTTGAACTTATTTCAGCTGGCTTAGAAGGGCCAAAAAGGTGGTCTGTGGAAAAGCCACCCTCTCACTGTAAATGGGTGAGGTTTGGTAAAGCAGGGCTTGAAATTTCCACTCGCCTGCTGGCAATGGCTAGTGGGAATTATGGTGGGTGCGAGTGTGACCCCTAGGGCCATCTTGCTGAGCAGGCTCGGAGCTCAGGCTGGATCTGTCATTGGCACTGGGAGCCATCAGACTGCTCAATATCTGAGTGCAGTGAAAGCAAAGGAAGGAGTGTGTGCTGTGCTCTCTGCCTCCCCCTAGAGTGCAGTACTCGGATCTGTGAGTGAACAACAAAGTACTGCAACTTTTTATGGGGAGGGGTGTGTGTGTATGTGTACATGTGTGTTTGTGTGTGTCTGTGTATGCATGTACATGTGTCTGTGTGTATGTACATGTGTGTATCTGTACATGTGTCTGCATGTATGTACATGTACATGTGTGTATGTGTACATGTGTCTGTGTGTCTGTGCATGTACATGTGTGTGTGTTTGTGTGTATGTACGTACATGTGTCTGTGTGTACATGTGGCTGTGTATATATGTACATGTGTCTGTGTGTATGCACATGTCTATGTGCGTGTGTATTTCTGTGTATGTACATGTATCTGTGTGTATGCGTGTCTGTACGTGCGTGTGTGTGTGTGTGTGTGTGTGTATACATGTGTCTGTATATGTGTGTGTGTGTACATGTTTCTGTGTGTATGTACATGTCTGTGTGTGTGTACAGGTGTCTCTGTTTGTGTGTGTTTGTTAGTGGCGAGTAACTTTTAAGGCCTGGCTAGTAGCTCAGGACTTGAAATTTTAAGCCCTGTGGTAAAAGTATAAAGTATACAGTATATAAACCCTTACTGAATGTTACAGCAAAATGCTGTGTATCTTGAGGAGTAAAGAAAGGATAGGTTTTTAGCTTTTTACGTTCTTTGTTACATCTTCACCCTGCTGATGACTACTAATTCACAGCCTATACCTGTCCATATGCACTATGGTGATAACAGGCTACATGTGTTTTTTTCACAGGTAACATTTTCTAAATGTTTTTTCACAGGCTCTTTTTAAAAACGGTGAAAACATTGGAATAGGTCTGGGCAATGTGCATCAGCACAGAAGCATTTGAGTGCTGTCATCCCATACCACAAAGATCCTAAACAAAGGCCTTTATATCAGTATCACCAGCTTGCATTTTAATAAAAGCTAGGGATAAAAAACAAAATAGGCTTTATAAATTATATTATCATGTTAAAGATTATATGAGATTTTAGAGGTTAGATTTTCATCTACTTTCCTAACTACACTTGAGTGCTTTGAAATGCAGTACCGGGTTACATTTTCTTATATGCCCTACCTGTGTGCGTAGGTTTGTGCACACAAAAATCATTTTAAGGACCAATATCCAGCCATAAAACTGACTGATATATAGCTCTTAAATTGTGAGCAATTTAGCTACTTTTTTTTTTGCAGTTGGGGGTCTTTTCGCCTTTTTTTAAAGATTGTAACTTTAAGGGTCTTGGAGACACTTAAGAAATTGGCTAGCAGCAGTACAGTTTTGTTAGCAGATTGTTTTGTTGTTCTTATTTGTGTACGTACATCAATTGCCATCATAATTTTAGGGAATTAAACAAATATACATTGAGTGAGTAAACACGCAGTGATAACCTAGATGGCTTTGTAACAGGATACATAATCCACAGAATTATCAGAGAGTAACTGTAACTTGCCGTTTACGAAACGGGTGCAAAGTTAAAATCAAAAATGCATAATAGAGTCAGAATGATAAGGAGTAAGCATACACTGTGCCTCAATCAGGGTAACGTGTCTGCAAAACATAGTCTCTATAAGACTACATAGCAACAGAAAGTCTAGCTGAGGATGACTACTTCAGTAAAATAGTTCACACAAACAGCTACTTATCCTCATAAACAGCATCCTTCCAAATGAAGGCCAGGGTAGCTCTGGTAACAGATATGAACAATTGGAGAGATCCAGAACCCCAAGATACAGAGGGTCACCCCCGGGGAACTAGAGCACTCTAGTAGCACTTGAGGATGTGCTACCCACAGTAGCTGGGTCTTCTGGAGACACTACATGATATTATTCTCTGGCCTAGCTGCCCACATGTTGGTTCTGACAGTGAAAGGACTATCATCTGGCTACATATCACTTGTCCAGCTACCTCTATATTGAATTTCCCTTGCCTTGATGAGATCCTTGGCAGCTCTTAAACATTTTGCCTATAGTCACTGAATAAAAGCTATGTTTGAGAAATTCTGGAGTCCGCCAATAATATGAGGGACGTTCAAGTCAAACTGGGACTTCTGAGTTTATATAATAAAAGAACAAATTTCAAGGTGGGGAAATTGCATTTATTTTTTTTGCATACTCCCTTGCTACATTTATATACTTATCCCACTGTTTAACCAAGCTGGAAAGCTTTAGGATAGAAAGATTTGTCAGTATACCTGAATCATCCTAGGACTTTCAAAAATGACTGTGTTCACCGTTCCCACAGAAAGATTTGTCTCTTGTGCAATTTCACGTTGATTATCCAGGATCAGGCTTTCCACAAGTTGAATGTTCACAGGAATGGCTGCTGTGGGCTGGGAACCACCATGGCTGGAATTGTCATTGATGGACATATGGCCATCTTTGAAATGTTTACACCATTCAAATGTCTTACTGTGGCCGAGCGTCTCATCACTGTACTGTGCTTGAAGTCTTCTGTATCCGCAGGTTTTATGCCTTTGTTCACAAGAAACTTCATCACCATGCACTGTTCTATGCACGTACTAACACTGTTGTCTTCCATCTTGATAAATGGTTTCTAGACTAGCCGATGACATGTGTGCCATCTATCAGTAATAGGACACACTTTCCACTTACTACTGCATGTAGAACTGCCACACTAGCATCCTCTTTTATACCTGTAAAATGAAAAGTCCCAGTTTGACTTGAACTTGAACATAGGTGAACAGCTGGGGGGATTCAAGGCCCCAAGATATCCCCACTGGAACTAGAGTAATCTAGTAGCAATTGGGGAAGTGCTACCCATAATAGCTGGGTGTTCTTGAGAAACTGCATATTAGGCTCTGGCCCAGCTGCCCACGTGTTGGTTCTGACAGTGTTATTGACACTTTTCTGGCTGCAGATCACTTGTCCAGCTACCTTTCCCTTGCCTTGATGAGGTCCCTGGGCAGCTCTAAAATACTGCATTTTGCCTATAGACACTGAATAAGAGCTATGTGCAAGCAATTGCGGAGTCACAACCTTAGTGTACTCCAATAAAAGATGGATAATAAAAATAGGAATTCCACCCAAGTTGCTATTTTTGTCAATTGTGGAACACCAAGGAGTGATTGGGTGTTTTCATTTTAGCTCAACCACAGTCAGATTTTACATACCAAAAAGGTATACTCAAAACAAAATCTACTTACAATTTTTGGAAGTACCCATGGAATTAAAGATAGATTACACATAAATACTTTGTAAGTCGATCCAAGAGAAACTGCATCCATTTTTCTTGGATCAAGTCCTGGAAACATTGATAACTGTGTTGGGACAACTAAAGCGAGGAGGTTTATCTTTAAAGTGTTGAATGATTAATTGAAGCATCTTTTATAATATAAGCACGAAAAGAACATCTTGTCCCTTAAAAGTTAATTGATCATTTAATTTGATTAGCCTTGAACATAATGAACTGATATACTGAGCTAAGGATGTGTATCTCCAAAAAGATTTAAGTAAGATGCAGTTGAGCACTTGTCCATTAGTAATAGAAAAGAGCTTATTTGTATTTAGATTTTGCTAATCTAGCTGCCATGACTTATGGTACATTTATTGGGACTTTGTGTTTTCCATTTACTACTAAAGGGCTTTGCATAATCACTATTGATTTTTATTCAAGGTTGATGTGATCACTAAATCTGGATATTTTAGTTTTATGGATTTAGGATTTGGAATTGGAAGTTAAATTTACACAGCTATTTTCAGTACAGCCATTGTAAACAGAATTTGATAACCCCAAAGAAATGCAATTCTTAGAAATCTCCCCATGTAACTTTACATTTATCTGCATTTCGAAACAAAAAAGTCATAACCAGGTTATGTTGAAAATATCCACAATATATTGGCACAAAGCCAATATAGCCTGACTGAATTACGCACTATAAATTTTTTAAAGTGTTTCACACTTAGTACATTAACTCTTTGTTGTAAAATCTTGTTTTGTTGGTTAAAAATAGTTTGTTTTTTGTTCACTGTAAAACCTTGTTCTATGAGCATGCCTAGAAAAGAAATCAGGACCCGGGATAGATTTTGTGAAGATTGTTGTCAATTTATGTACTGTAAATGACCTCTGTTAAATAGTAATAGTGAGAAATAATTTTTAGAAGAACATTCAATATCCACCGGTTTGAACAGTTTTTTTTTGCAAATAGGAAATAACCCTTTTTGTTTTATAGGACTTAAAGAGGAACTTCAGCCTTTCCCCTCCCCCCATTTTTGAGAGAGCATTCGGCCCACCTGGTCGGTGGCATCCAGGGCTGAAACATGAAGTGTCTCCACAAGTCAGACCATGGAGCATGCAAACCAGAGGTCTCCCAGGCTTCCTAATGCGGTATGTCACAAGTATTAGAAATCCAACAGAGTATCATGCCACATGAAATGGCTCCCGTCAGCTGTGCATCAGGTGCCACAGAACATAGACAAACAAGCACACAAAAACAAAACAATACAAAGGAAGAATATAGTCTCTCATCAATTTAAGGACACTCGGATAAGATTAGATTAGGACTCTGATCGGTAGGCTTAAACAGCAAGCCAAGTAATAGGTTCCAGATGGCTTTTAGTCATGTCAAAAGGCAGGTCCCTGTCTCCTATATGACACCATTAGGGGAATGCCAAAAGGGAGCCAGGTTTTTGACTGAAAGTGTTGAAGTGTGTAAAAGTTCACAGGAAAGGGACTGAGTGATTAATACTACACTCCCTGGTCCAGTAAAGAGGAAAAGAGCATTCTGGTGGGAAACCTGACTAGCTCCTTACCCAGGACTGTTCATCATAAAGTGGTAGGCACTGGGTCCCCTTGTCCAGGGATTCCTCTGGACAGTTGGGTTAAAAAGAGGATTTATCTGGGGTCTGGGGTGGTACACCAGGAGAGGTTGGCAAGCTCTCCAAGAAGAGAAGTTCAGTCTTTGAACTTGTATATGGTTGCCAAAAAGTCGTCCTCAGTTTGCAGGTCCCTTGGGCATACACTCCTTACCCCATCCAAGTTCAATTCCCCAAATAAAACTAAAAAACCAAGTTCAAGGACTGTTCACTGTCTCTGGAATGCAAGTCTGTGGAATATGTGTGTTGCCTGGCTGTGCAGGACTATAGGGGGACCCAAATCTTAAGCAACTCCTAAGGGGGCAGTGCTACACATATTCCTGGGCCTGGGAAGATAGCTCTGGACAGGGAAATTAAAGGTAAGTAAGAGGGTATTTTTGAATAATTCCTTGGTATCCCTGGATTTATGAAAAGAGTCAACGTGTACA